GGCACGTGCTACTATAAATAACTGCACACACTTCTTACCTGTGGCGTGAATGAGACAGAATTAATTCTTTTCTTTCCTAAACTTGACTGTGTCCTAGAAGTTTCAATGTATTTTAAATTAAATGTAGATTGACTTTGTATCTAAATCCTGCTGGCTGTCTTCCCATTTCATCTCCTGCTTTGGCGGAGTCGTAGGGATGGTGTAAACACCAAGGTCATCCTCAAAGAGAAACTTAGTGGAGCAGCTGCCACCCAACCTTTACCCTATGACATTATTACCTTTCTACCTTCCTTTCACCCATACCCCTCAAAGTTTATGATGGTGAAACTTGATGAGCATTGGCGAACAAGCTGTCTTTGAAGTAGGTAAATTATAGACAGATTACAGGATTCAATTAGACAGGAGGAGGAGATGTTCAAGGGCAGACTCTCAGTTCCATTGCATAATACTTGCTTGGTTGAAGGCATTGGAATATATCAGGTACATGGGCACAGCTCCTAATCGCAAAAGGATCTAGGTCCACAAAGACAGGATTGGTAAGCCAAGAAATGTCTAGCATGACTCCTACAGAAATGATCAGTAGTTTAGCAGATGGAGAGGAAATGTGTTCAGGTGAGAAGAAGAGTAATACCATTTGCTGAATATTTACTAGAAGCCATGTGTTTTACAAAAAGTTTTTCATTCAATCATTCCCAAAACTGCCCATAGAAGCTATTATTATTATCATTGTGATTAGGAGGAAACAAAGCAGGTGAAGTGCTTTTGTCTCATAGGATTCAACTAATATATGGCAGTGTCTGGATTCAAACTCAGATCTTTTTTACTGTAGATCATGTACTGTTGATTACTGTTCTGCCTCCCCAAGGAGGTACTCACAATAGTGAGTTAAGATTTTAAGATAGGGCCACATGCTGGGTGCTGGTGGCTCATACTTGTAATCCTATCTACTCAAGAGGCTGAGATCTGAGAACTATAGTTCAAAGACAGCTCAGGTAGGAAAGCCCACGAGACTCTTATTTCCAATTAACCACCAGAAAACCAGAAGTGGAGCTGTGGATCAAAGTGGTAAAACACTAGCCTTGTGCACAAGAGCTTAGAGACAGTGCCCAGGCCCTGAGTTCAAGTCCCATGACTGACAAAAAGAACAAAACAAACAAAAAACAGAGTTTAAGGTAAGATTTATGTGGAATGTCAAAGACTGAGTAAGGCACATAGGAAAAACAGGAAGACATATATTGTAACAAATGAAAAAGTCTTATTTACTGGGTGCTAGTGGCTCAGACCTGTAATCCTAATTCCACAGGAGGCTGAGATCTGAAGGTCACTATTCAAGGCCAACCCAGACAGACAAATCCAAGAGACTCTTTTTTTTTTTGAAAGGGGGGCGGTCCAGTCATGGGGCCTGAACTCTGGGCCTGGGTGCTGTCTCTCAGCTACTTCAGCTCCAGGCTAGCACTCTACCACTTGAGCCACAGCGCCACTTCCGGCTTTTTTTTCTTTTTGCTTATGTGGTACTGAGGAATCGAACCCAGGGCCTCAGGCATGCAAGGCAAGCGCTCTGCCACTGAGCCACCTTCCCAGCCCCCAAGAGACTCTTATCTCCAATTAATGGAGAAAATCCAGAAGTGGAGATATGGTTTAGGTGGTAGAGCGCCAGCCTTGAGCAAAAAAAAAGCCAAGAAAGAGCTTGAGGCCCTAAGTACAAGACTCAGTACTGGCACAAAAAAAAAAAAAAATAGAAAAAGAAAAGTCTCAGCAAAATTGGAGATTTTGAAAAGTCCTGAGATTGTGTGTTGGCAGTGGAATGTCCCTTACACCAATGAATGAACAGCACAGGGTACTGGTAGCAAAGGATGAATAACTAGGGAAATAATTTCATAGGGAAATATTGAGTATACCTATGAACTCAATGTGGCAGCATACCTGTGAAAATTCCTTAGCAAATCTGTGTGCAGTCCTGAAGTTCAATGTGATGAATTTTTGCAAAACTGTGTGCATATTACAGAGAGGAATAGTGAGATCTATCTCACAGAGCTGAGTTCAGCTAATTAAAAAGTTGTATTATAGAGCAGTGGATCTTCAACTTGAGCATCCAGCAGAATCCCATGAGAAGCTTATTAAAGTGCAGATTGCTGGGTCCCATTCCTGAGAACTGAATTAAGTAGCTTTGAGGTATGGCTCCAGAATTTGGATTTCTAACTAGCTTCTGGGTGATGCAGATGCAGCCACTTTATGACTACTCTGAGACTGGCAGAGTGGTGTGACTCAGCTTTGAATACGAGGTAAAGGCATTTGCCCTTGAATTTTACCATTTTTACATTCCTACAACCTATGTCACATGTTTTTACTGTCATCAGCTTTGTCTTCCCAACCCTGTTTGGTTGAAGGCCTTACCTTCAGCCAGAATAATCTCTTAAAAACACTAAGTCTGTAGCTGAAGCTGAAGCTCAATAGAACAATTGCATAGCAAGCTCAAGGCCCTGGGTTCCATCCCCAGCACTAAAAAAAATCTGAATAGGTCAATATCAGTGGCTCCTTTTGTCTTTGTGTGATGATGAATGCTGCCCTAGCTCTTTAATTCCCAAGCAGTCTCCTTTATGGGTAACCTTGAAACTCCAGAACAAGTCATCTGGCCTCTTATCTACATCTGGAATTATATCTGGAAGCTCTGTCTTCTCAGGTCCACCTATCCTCATGTGGTTAAATTCATTTTCTATTTTGGATATTATCCTCAAAATCAAGTCTAATGGAAGCCCTTAGACTTTGGCCAATGGACAATGTCCCTCAAGAACCCTTGTAGAACACTCTTGAACAGGGTACAAATGGCCTGGTATAATAACTGAGCTGTCCAGTAAACTAGAAGCTCCTTGAAAGTAAACACATTCTTGGCACTCAGTACATGAAGAAATAATTTAATAAATTGTCATTGAACTTGTGTTACTATGGACCTGGCAAGAATTAACCATCTTTTCCTGGGGTAAAAGATAGGTTATGTGCTTTCTTTGACCTACGATAGGAAAAATTTTCTCACAAATAGCACAAAGAAATGACAATATGCCATTCACAATCCAGAAGAAGCTGTTTTTGTTTTAGAATTTTTCCATCTGGGCATTGCAAACCACAAAAGCAACTTTTTGCTTTCACAATGAACATATTCTTTAACAGCACACTTTCCCAAAAGGACACTCCTCCCTTCATTGCATTTTGATCTATCCTGATGTAATTTAAAGTTTGAAGATAGGGTCTGACCTTATCTATCACTGACTGAGCCGTTGCCTCATGAAAATGCAGTTTGAAACTCATTAATAGGGTAGCCTGTACATTATAACTTGGAAGCTCTGGGTTATCACTGATGCTTGCAATTGCTATGGAAACCGGGTTCATATGCACCTTTCAAAGAGCCTACTTTAAAACAAGGGGAAAAAGATGAAGAAAAGGAAGGCTCCTTGGAAGAATGAGCTATTTAGTACCCAGCATGCATAGGCAAGCTCAGTGATGCAAAAATGCTCTGCCTACACAATGATAAAAACAAATCTTTGTATTTTTCAGGAGCTAATAATGTATAACCTTATATTAGAGAATTGTGTTTATGCTGATAGGAAAGAATGCCTGAGGCAATCATCCCCCCTCCCACCGTGCCCACACATAGACTCACTAACACAGACACTCAAACAAGATGTGCATCCAGAATTTTTAGTATCCCCAAGGTCTTTGCAGCCTGCATTCCTAAGTTCTCTAAAGGCTTCTGCACACTGTAGCTTCAGGGTAAAGCTCAACCAGTGTGGGCACTGGTGGAGAATTCAGTATTTTCTACATCGTGTTGCGTATGCACTGGATTTTCCAGTTATAACATAGTAGTGCTACTTTGGTTTTTGTGTAAACAATTTTAGGTTGCATTATTTGCTAAATTTTGGATTTTTCCATCCTTCTTCCCTCAGCCCACATTTCTTCCTAATCATTGAAGTATTGAATTGGGGAAACAATAGTGTGAACACAAACTGTTAGAAAATGATTCTTCTAGTTGTCACTGCAATATGTTAACTCTTTCAGTGTCCTTATCTCTCTGTTTACCTCCCATGTGTGGGATTAATAGTTTTCCCTTTATCTCTTCTGCACCTTCCCACAAGTCTAGCCAAGGATGAGATGCATCTCTTCTGAGCAGGAACAAGTCATTACACTGAGCTCCCTCTGTCTTCACCTTCAGACAGAAGGAAATTCTACCAGCTCCCACCTTGAAAACTAACACCCACTCTGTAGACATGTAAAAACCAAAAGGATTTGTGACCCTCAACTGGAACTCTTGCCCCTTTTTTAATATAGAGATCTTCTTCCCTAGGATGCCTTCATAAATACCATTTCAATGTCAAACAACAATCCCCACCTCCTACTACCCAATTCTCCTCCCCCCAATCTCTCCATCAACTTCCTCCTTTTCTCTATCTCTCTTCCTCTACCACCATCTCTCCTGGCCCCATTTCCAACCATCTCATCCTTTTCCTACCATCTGTCCTTGCCCATCCTTCTCACCATCTCCCCTCCCTCATACCTCCCCCATTATTCCTTTCCCATACCCTTTTCACCAGCTCCCTCTTCCTCTTCTCCATGTCTTCCTCCAACACCTCTCCTCCTCCCCTCCTCCCAACTTCCCTTCCACTCCGTCCTGCATCCCACCTCCCTTTTGCTCTTCCACCTTTCACTTATTTTCCCATCACCACAACCCACATCCCTCTTCTTTCACTAGCATAAGCAACTTCTGCAAAGGAAAGAATTAAGCACAAGCACATCAGTCTTGAGATTCTCTAAGATGACCATTTATTTGTTGAAGAACAATAACAAGTACACCTAAGTACTTTGGTACTTAAAGCACAAAACCTAAAGAAGAGGCAGGATGTTGGTAATGAGTTTGTGGTGATGGCAGCAAACGCAGGTGTTATGTAGGCGTTGGATGACTTGATGGGCAGTTCATTATTTTGGGAGCTTCTTCTATAGTAGTATTTTCATTATGAAGTGGTTGTAGAGTGTTGTTTTCCATCTTCCTCAACTTCAGCTTGAAGCTCCTCCAGAATCAGTTGTCTTGCTAACTGGATGTTAAATCCTTCGCTGCAGTTAAGTTTTCTTCTCATCTCGAACTGCCGCTGTCTCTCTACTTTGGTCAAGAGGTGTTTGTTGGAATGTGCTCGGCTGTTCTCAGAGTCTTTCTTCTGACGGCGGGTCCCAAATGTTTTCACGGCGGCTAGTTTTTCTGCTAACTTGTCCGGAGTCAAGGCTTCCTTTCCATCTGGTTTGATTAGATCTTCCCCGTCATCTTGCATCTCTAGATAAGGATTCACTGGCTCGTTCACTTTCTTTAAGTTGTAGTTACAGTAAGATGTCGACAAGATGCTGGCCTCATCCCACTTCTGGGATTTTTTGCATTGTCCTTCCTTGGCATTTTTCTCTCCGTGTTGCTGAACTGGAGCCTCCACCGAAGAAACTGATGATACCTTATTCTTCAGAATCCCCTTGATGGGCCTATGGGAACCAGAGGAGGCTGACATTTCTGAGAAGCCAGGGGCCGCACTAGGATTGGGCAGCGAAGCAGATGACAAAGATCCGGCTGCAGAGCAGCTGCTTGCTGCGCTCCGGCCAGAAGCAAGGGCTGTTAAGTCTGGACCACAAACTGCCAACTGCCTGCTGATGACACCAGGCACCCAGTGTCGTCACAAAGGATCACGTGCGCTGCACTGCAAAGGGCTTTTCTTAGGTCACTGCTATTATAACCAACGCCTCAAAGCCCACTCTGGTGGCCATTTTCTTCCTTTGTAACAAAATAAGCTAGGAAGCATCTATTCGTAGCAAATCCAAAGAAGGGGAAGCATTGTTCTGTATCTTCTCCATGCCTAGTCAGCATAAAGGAAAGCTAAGATGCTATATACAACGTACTTTTTATGTACGTATGTGCTAGTCCTAGACCTTGAACTCAGGGGCCTGGGCACTGTGCCTGAGATATGTGTGTGTGTGTGTGCGCGCGCGCGCGCGCGTACGCACATGCGCGCGCGTACGCACATGCGCGTGCACGAGCACTTGCATGTGTGCACTGGTACTGGAGCTTGAAGTCAGGGCCTGGTAACTCCCTGAGCTACCACTCTACCATTTGAGCCACAGCTCCACTTCTGGGTTTTAGAGGCTAATTAGAGATAAAAATCTTGTAGACTTTCCTGCCTGGACTGGCTTTGAAATGTAATACTCAGATCTGAGCCTCCTGAGTAGCTAGAACTACTGGTATGCTCTAACAACACCTGGCTATAAATGTATACCTAAAAAAGAAAGTATGAAAGGTACTGTCTCACAGAATGCCCCCTCCCCCAGCAGCATTTGAATTAACTAGGAACCTGGATGGGGTTCTCAGATTATTCACACTATTCATTCCAACCTAACCCTCTGGTGCTGGCCTTCACAATTAAAGAAACTCTCACCTTATTTCAAGTAACCATCATCTCTTGTGCTGACTATAACCAAAACCTTTGAACTGGGCCCTCCCTATGTATACAAATACAAATACAAACACACACATGTATATGTATATTTTTATATTTATATATACGTATATATGCAGTCCTAGACTGTAAACTCTTTCCTCGCTTGGTTTTTAACTGGGAGTTACAACTTTCTAATTAATTCTACTTCTCCCATAGTATCTTCTCAATTGTCTGAAACTTTACTTCTCAAAATCCATGCTAAGTAAACGTTGATCAACCCTTAGTTCTACCTTTCTTGCAGGTATCATTTTGCTGAACTAGAATAATTTGTAACTTTACTCATCTGTGAGAACCTGAGCTCTTCTAAGTAGTTCATCTTAGTTTCCCTTCTCATAACTTCAATTCCTCCTTTTACTCTTACTACCTTCAGTCTTCCTTTCAGTTCCCATTAGTCCTTTCCAATGTTCCCTTTCTTATCTGCTCCAACCGTCTAACTACCCCTGCCAGATCTCATCTTTTCCACTTCAGTTCTTCAGCTCCCTCAGTCACTTCAATTTTAGGTCCCTGGCACCGTTAAGGACTCTCAAGAGACTCAGAAACCCTTGAAAGCAACCATCTAAAGGAGAGAAAAGGCCAATTGGAAACAGGATATTTTATTTCCTCAAATGGACTTTGGAGACATCCAGACATCTACTTGATGCTCCTGCAGTCTCTTTAGATGAAAACTTGTGTAAGATTACACAACAGAGCAAAAGAAAAATTTGGAGGTTTTGCCCACAAAAATTGGTTCCAAGCAGTAACAATTTGTCCCTTTTTTTTGGTTAGAAACACAGTTCAGATACATATAGAAAGTGCAGATAAACCAGTGAGTTTTATAATACTGTGTTGCCTGATTTGTGGCCAAAATTCTAGAATTAAAATTATAAGATTTATGTTTGCATCTATGTGTTTATATATATGTACAGATAAATGTGTATATATCTTACATATTTGATATTTCTCTCTCACTGGATGGTATTACCAAGTTAATTTATAAAATCTATTAAAGATGGTCTACTCAAATTTGTATAGAGATAAATAAAACTAATATATATTTCTTAATCTTTCAGAAAGAGAAGAATTAATGCAAATGCTTTTTAATTTCACATGACTTGGGTGAGTCTCAGTAAATTAGATTGACAGTAGTTGGGTTTAATAAAACTGAAAATGCCTTCTGTCTGATCAGCATTAAATAGAATAGGAGTATATGTTTTATTCTACCTGTTTACTAGTATCTCTGCTAAATATTCAAAATTATAAAAATTACAAAAAAATTAAGAACAAATATACAAGTAATAATGTAGTAATCACTGTAGCTACTTATTTATGTAGAGCAAGCATAACAGTTAAACAAAATCTCATACGCTTAAATTTTTTAGGTTTGGCTTTTGTGAGGTTTGCCTGATATCACAAGGCTGCAAGCCTAGCTAATGACCATCTAGGTATGGTGGCATATGCTTGTAATTCCAATGCTTGGAAAGCTGAGGCAAAAGGATGGCAATTTTAAGGCCAGTCTGAACCACACAGTAAGATCCTGTTAAACACACACACACACACACACCACCCAAACAAACAAATGCTATTAGGGAAATAACTTCACATGATATGTAGTCTTGTTTGATATTATGATATGCCTGCTTAAAAAGAATTTCCAAGCTGAGCCAGTGACTGAGTTTGTAATCCTAGCTACTCAGGAGGCTGAGATCAGAAGACTGAAGTTTGAGGATAAGGTTCCAAGCTATCCTGGACATGAGACTTTTATCTTCCATTATCCCCTCCATAAGCCAGAAGTAAAACTGTGGCTCAAGCAGTAAAGTTCTGTCCTTGAATGGAAAAAACCCAGGGACAGTACCAGGACCTGAGTTCAAGGCCCAAGACCAGCAAATGCACATAAACATTTCTCAATTTTTTATAGTGTGAAACCTTCAAGTTCCACTGAGTTAAAGAAGTAATAGACATTTAGAACATAGCCCAATCACTTCTAAGTAAGACAAACTACTAAGCACTAATTACTAAACTTAAGTTTAAGTTTATATAGTTTTTCTTGATAAAATGTATAGAGAAAATAAAAATATACGTGAACCTATTAGTAAACATAACAAAATGTTTTATAAGGAAATAGTATATACCAATAAGTAAGATGATATATTCATAAAATTTACTAGTCTGCTTACATTGAATATAGATATCTCCAACACACACCACAACTATCTACTTCCTAGTTTTCTCTGTAAAGGAAGGGTTATTGATAGTTTAAATTTCTTATCAAAATATGACATTAAAGTGGGCACTGGTGGCTCATGCCTGCAATACAATCTGCACAGGAGGCTGAGGTCTGAGGAATGTGATTTGAAGCCAGTCCAAGCATAAAAGTCCATGAGACTCATATCTCCATCTCCAATAAACTACCAAAAAAAAAAGCCAGAAGTGCTAGTCTTGAGCAAAAGAAGCTCAGGGACAATGCCCAGGCCATGAGTTCAAACCCCAGGAGTGGCACCAAAGGAAAAAATATGGCATTAAATTACTAGAAATAATAAAGGTAATGGGAAATAACTTTGTAAAATTTGCAAGGAAACTAAGGTATGTTTTTTGTAAGGAAACATATATGAGTTATGGAGAATATGTTTTCATTAAGGGGAAAAGACAGTCCTTTTAGCCTGAAATAAAATGACTGGTTTTTCCCCAATAAGAGAAAAAGGAATAGGTTGAACACTGAATGGATATAAGGAAAATGCAGAAGGTTTGTAGCCAAGGTATTTTATGTTTGATCAAGCTACTAAGATTGGACAGACTTTTTTCATTTCCAAATGTTTATTTTATCAGATTATCTGAATATTAAATTTATCTTCATTTACAAGCCATAGTTACCTGAAGTTTACTGTTGTTTTTTTTTTTCATGTGTGTGTATTCACTTTTATTGTACATTTGTTTTCTAAAAGTCTGGTATAATTTTCCGGGAATGTTCAAATTGCCACAATACAGGAAGAGAGCTTTGTTTTTGTGCTGCCAATTTTTGAGAATTTAAATCTGGGTTTGGGTTGTGATTAGTATTTCATCTGTGAAGTCTGTATTTGTAACAATGTCTTTTTTTTTAACGATTGTACTTTTATTTTTCTATATTCTCTAACTTCAGAATTTTTGTTCTTTCCCACTTCTACATTCCCTAGATTAAACCAAAACAAAACAAATGCACAAAACATGTATATATTTGGATGGTCGTGGGGCTCGAACTCTGGGCTTAGGCACTGTCCCTTAGCTCTTCATCTCAAGGCTAGTGCTCTACCACTTGAGCCACAGTGCCACTGCCGGTTTTCTGGTGGTTTATTGGAAATTTATAAGATGATTTCTTTGTTACTTTGTATGTCCCTCCCCCACGTTATAACCCCTGCTTTCACTGTATTTGATGTTGGTATAATTTGTGGAGGGGAAGGGAAAAAACAAATCCTTTAAATCGGGATACAGGTGGACCCACTGCAACAATGAGATGTACAAGTCGTTATGTCGAAAAACGAACTTTACAACTTTTTTCCCTTCCCCTCCACAAATTATACCAACATCAAATACAGTGAAAACAGGGGTTATACCGTGGGAGAGGGACATACAAGCTACAAAAAAATCACCTTATAAATATGTTAGAAACAATAGCAAGAAAGAAAAATCATTTGAGTCCATATCTTGGGGTTCATTTTTGCCTAACATCAACTTATCTGACCTTTTCTGCTTGTCTCAGACATATATTAGTTATTGAAAATAAACACACATCTTTTGTGCTGCATCAGTAGCAGAAAGATTTATTTATGAAAGATTTTTCCCTTTTTTTTTTTGTTCCCCCATACTAGGGTTTGAACTCAGGGTGCTGGGGCTATTCTTCAGCTTTTTCTCTCAAGGCTGGCACTCTGCCACTTAGGCCACAGATTCACTTCAGCTTTTGGTTGGGTAGCTGGATATTAGAGACTCAAGGATTTTTCTGTGATTAAACCGCAATCCTCAGGTCTCATCCTCCTAAATAGCTATAAAATTACAGGTGTGAGCCGCTAGCATCCAGCCATAATTTTGGGGTCCAGTAACTGGGGCTTGAGCTCAGTCTCTCATGCTCTTGTTTATCCCTCTACCTTTTCAGTCACACCTCCACTTTCTTTCCCTTTCTTTTTAAAGAGGTCGATAATTACTAATACAAATTTACAATTTGGTTTTGTCTCTGTTAAAAGGACAACATTTTCTCAGATTATTGTAAATGGTTTTTTATTGAGTAATTCTCCTAGGGAACAAATATCCTATGTCTTATGTAAATAATTTCCTTAAATCTAGAAATCTCTACTTGCTGGACTAAACAACTGAATTTCCATCCAATAATCTTTGCTTTTTTTTTTTTGAAAGCACTCATCCCAGAAGAACACGTGGACACAGTCACATGTAGCAAAGGGGTTTATTGCCAGTGGGGCTGACAAGAGCATCTCCCTCATGGGAGAGGAAGAAATGGCACCTGTCTTTATTCAGGGTCATCCTTATACAGTCCCAGGACTAGAGGTGGGAGGTACTCCCCATGAGCAGCTGGTCACTGAAGACAGCACATAGGCAGGGTGGAGTTCAGGTCTGTGTAAAAGTCGGGAATGCAGACCAATCCCCAGGGACAGCTCTCTTTAATTTGTGAAGAGCAGGGTGGAGTTCTGGTATGGATGGAGGACATTTGGCTGATGCAGCTGGGGGCTAGAGATGCTTGTTGAGTGCTTAAGATGGAGACTGTCAAGACCCCATTGTCAAGCCCCAAGTGGAAGAGGAGATACTAACAGTTTTCTTCTCAGTAAATGACTTCCTGGCTGCTTCTACCATCTTGCAATCCTCCACCAAGGGAGAGAAAGCCTTAAATGATTTAAAGGAAATAGCAGTGTCTCTCTTTCTCCTTTCCTTGAAAAATAGGGATACCTGACTAAACTTTAATCAGGCATCTTTTGACTATTAGTCAAATCTAATTTATTTCCCCCACCACAAGATTCCATTGCTGGCAGAGTGAAGGAAGGGTGTGACATTGTCCAAAAAGAAATGTATTTATACCTGATTTAATCAATTCTCACTTCTCTGTACATGACTTTTTTTAAATTTTATTTTTTGTGAACATACTGTACAGAGGGGTTACAATTACATGGGCAAGATAATGAGTACATTTCTTATCAAGCATTGTAGCCTCCTCCTTTGTTTATCCTTCACATCCCTTCCCAGCCTCCCCCCTGCCCCCCCCCCAATTCCCCCCCCCCCCCACCAAGGTTGTAAA